GCCCTGCACCTCTGGCTGCTGACAGGCAAAACTCATGACATGGGTGCTTGTGCAACTGTGTCTGACTTGAGGTGGGGGTGGGGGAGGAGAGGGGGGAACTATTGCAGGCCTGGCTGCTAAGCTACTGTGTTACCAGTTACCAATCAATCATGATTTACTCAGGGAGACCCGCTCAGTACATAGTTGCTAGCTAATGTAACCAGTTAATTAGCATTAATTAACACCTACAAAAACAGAGACTAAGAAGAGGAAATAATCAATACAGACAATCAACTGCCCCAAGACAGAGACAGTCAGTTGCACAAGCACGCATGTCACAAGTTTTGTCTGTCAGCAGCTAGGGGTTCAGGGCCCCAGAACCCCCCTGCACCTATCTCATCGACAGCTGGCAGGCTTGGGCTACCATTGCAGCAGGGACTACCATCCCTGCAGCTTTCACCCCGCTGTGCCTTAACACACACAATGTCACCCATGTCACGAGTTTTACTTGTCTGCAGCTTGAGGTGCAGTTCCTCACAAACCCCTGCACTTATCTCCTTGAAACTTGGCAGGCTTTGTGGCCACAGCAGGGGCCACCACCCCTGTAGTTTTCATCCTGCTGCGCCTTAACACACACAGGGTCATCTGTGTCACGAGTTTTGCCCGTCAGCAGCCTGAGGTGCAGTTCCCCTCAAACCCCTACACCTATCACCTTGAAACTTGGCAGGCTTTGTGGCCTCACCAGAGGCCACCACCCCTGCTGTTTTCATCCCCCTGTGGTATAACACATAGACGTGACATGAGTTTTGCTTTCAAGAATTTGGGGTGCTGTTCCCCCCAAACCCCTGCACCGATCTTGAAACTTGGCAGGCTCCATGCTCTCAGCAGAGGCTACCATCCCTGCAAGTTTCATTGAAAATCAGATAAAAAACAACAACGTTATGGATATTTCATTGATTCCCCATTATACCCTATGGCTGGATCTCTGAGGCGGCTCTGAAGCTTCAGAGCCACTTCAGCTGGATCGAAGCAGAAACCCAGTCTGGAGCTCCGGATTGGATCCCTGTCATCCGAAGTAGCCAGATCTGAAGCTGGATTGAATAGCTGCCTACTTGCACAGGCCTAAATAGGACCAGCTTGTGTCATCTGCTATCTGGTGCCAGAGAGGTCTCAGATCTCTCAAGCAAAGCACAAATAATTGCTCCTGTGTGTACTTGTTCTCTCTTTGCAGGAGGCCATTCAGACAGGTGAGGAACCAGCTGTGTGAACTGTCTGAACTCTCAGTGGTGAATCACTGGGAATCATTCACACACTTGTGCTGCAGTGACAGGATTTTCCCAGTGAATGGTGCAATTAGAAATGGATAAAGCTGCCAGCCAGGGAATTCCATCCCTGTCTGAGACCAAGGAAAGGAGAGAATGGGGTATTGCTTATGGCTGGGTTTTGATCAGGACTCCCAGAAGAGGGAGGTTTCCTGTACTGTGTCCCAGACCAGCAGAGGTGGGGACTACACAACACAGGCCTGCTCCGAAACAAGCTTCTGTTGTGGGCAGGTCACTCTAGTGTATCTTTCATGTCAACAATTCTAGGGAACTTTCTTTTTAGCTGCTGAGTTTTAGGGCTGTTGAGACCTGTCCTGGGAAAAACTAAATAGAATGGATAGAAACAAAAGCACTGTGCTTCACTCCTCGTCTTGGCATGTGATCAGCCAATGCTGCTCATATTTTTGCAGTGATGCTCCCAAGAGGTGAAGAGGGCAAAATTCTTACATATATTCCCCCACTATTATATGAGCCTTTGTTAATGAACAAGCAAGCTATTTGCTCACGACAATGTCTGTTACCTCTCAACAATCAGTCAGTGTCTTTTTCATTGTTTGGTTTCTGCTGGGTATATGTATTGCTGTGGAACGTGGTTACAGGGAATCTAGCTGCCAGCGGCCTTCCCAATTTCTTCTCATTAGATTTCTTCATTAGATTAAGAAAAAAAGCAAAAGCATTATCCGCTGATGCTAACAGACTACAATAACCCTGTGCCGTTCAAACCCATACTCTGCCCAGAACTTCATTATTCTTTGAAGAGTTGCATAATTTAATTTTATAGATGGATGTTCTTGATCATGTACTTTCTTGCTGCAGAACTGTATCTAAACATACAAGGGAAGAGATAATACCTGCAACATGCCCGTTATTGGAACAGATCCAGATACTATGCCCTAAATGATTTTTTTCTGAATATCAAGGGAGTTAATTGCTTGTGAAAGGTGGAAAGCCTGGGAGACTGAAGTCTTTTGTTAACTCACAGAATAGCTGTAGCTAAGGAGGTTTCTCTGATACTTGCTTGTTAGCATGAATCACCACTACCTGAGGGACCTGGCGGGTGTGGGAAGGGGAGCTTAGTGGTTAAGAGTCTCCTCAGGTCTTTGGCAACCTGTTTGGCTAACAAGGAGGGGAGGGCAGTTTTGGAGGTGCTTTTTTGACAGTGTGTTCATTAGGAGCTATGCTGGAGTCTGGTGGGCAGCAGTGAATGCAAATGAATGATGGTTGCTATCTAGTTAGATTCAAGCTGTTGACGTAATGATTAAAAGCTCACTCTCCCGCAGTCCAGCTCACTGGTTGAGATCCCACCTGTGTGCAGTAACTGCCGTTAAACAAAGATACAGTCACTATGCACTCCTATACAAAGAGGGGACCTGAATTAGAGATTTCATGAGTATATGTTGCAAAGTTTTGCTTGTTTTTTATATTGATTTCAGCTTATGAATGAGAGTGGCTCCACTGCAGGGGCTGCTAATGGGCCAGCTAAGTACATTTTAAACATCTCTGTTGCAAACCTCAGCCTGATTAGGTATCTGAGCGAAGGGGTGGCACTACATTTTAGAGTGGGGAGCATAATTTGTCATAACATCTTTGGCTCAAAAGAGGGGCTGATTACCAACACAAAGGTTGAAAATACCAGGAACATGAATGGATGAGAACTCTACAGAGGATGGAAACAAATTAATCTGGAAGATAATAAAAGGGCTCTACCCAGACAGAGGTCAAAAACTGTTGCAAATCATTTCTGAGGCAATACAATGTAGATTTTTGTACTGTGACTGGAGACTGAAGGTCTGTCCCTGGCTTTGATACTGGCTTGCTGTGTAACCTTAAGCAAGTCACTTACCTCTCTGCTAAGCCAGGGTGGGGGTGGGGGTGGTGTAGCAGATACACTGGAAGGGAGGGTTCAGAGTGACCTAGACAAATTGAAGTATTGGGCCAAAAGAAATCTCATGAGGTTCAACAAAGACAAGTGCAAAGTGCTGCACTTAGGATGGAAGAATCCCATGCACTGCCAGAGCCTGGGGACTGACTGGTTAAACAGCAGCTCTGCAGAAAAGGACCTGGGGGTTACAGTGGACAATAAGATGGACAAGAGTTAACAGTGTGTCCTTGTTGCCAAGAAGGCTAATGGCATACAGGGCTGCATTGGTAGGAGTGTTACCAGCAGATGGAGGCAAGTAGTTATACCGCTCTATTCTGCACTGGTGAGGCCACATCTGGAGTCCTGTGTCCAGTTTTGGGACTCCCACTGTAGAAAGGATGTGGAGAAGTTGGAGAGAGTCCAGTGGAGGGCAACAAAAATGGTGAGGGGGCTGGCGGACATGACTTATAAGGAGAGGCTGAGGGAACTGGGGTTATTTAGTCTACAAAAGAGAAGACTGAGGGGGGATTTGATAGCAGCCTTTAACTACCTGGAGGGTGGTTCCAAATAGCTAGAGCTAGACTGTTTTCAGTGATGACAGATGATAGAACAAGGAGCAACCATCTCAAGTTGCAGCAAGGGAAGTTTAGGTTCAATATTAGGAAGAATTTTCTTATGGGGAGGGTAGTAAAACACTGGAACAGGTCACCCAGAGAGGTGGTGGAATCTCCATCCTTGGAGGTTTTGAAGACCCAGCTAGACAAAGACTTGGGTGGGATGATATAGTTGGGAATGGTCCTGCTTCGAGCAGGGGATTGGACTAAATGACCTCTTGAAATCCCTTCCAAGCCTCGTTTTCTATGATTCAAATTACAGAGGCAACTATTCCTATGGCGTTATTGTCTCACCAGCCCATGTGCCTTCAGCCTTGCACTGCTTGATTAAAACCATCCACTTCCCATTTTTACTACTTATTTCCCATAGTTTGTCACATGGGCAAATATTGCCCTTCTCCAGTAACAACCTTGGAAATATCCTACATTTCCCATACCTGAACAATAATCCCGTGCCTAGGAGAGAGATTGAAGTTCCAAGCCCTTCTCTAATTCTAGCCCCTTATCTACAATTGATACTTAAGTAGAAATGACCAGTGAGGCTCTGTGTGGAGTTACAGGATTCTTGTCAAATATGGCTGAGTTTAATTCACACTCTGACTGCCAGGTCTGTACCTGTTTTGCTGAGAGAGGTCCCAGCTAGAAAGATTCCAGGGGACTCCAAGTGACTTTGGATGAGCTGCAAATAAAGGACATGTGCCACAGAGTGCTTGAGTCAGCACCTTTTTACCGGCATCGGACTCCCATGCCAAAGCTAATAAACAGATTTGTGAGTAAGTTCATGATTTAAGATTTTCACATGCAACTCAGCATCACAATGGAGGGTTCAGAGGCTGCACTAGGTGGAGACTGAATGTCTTCATGTCTCTGGTGTAACAGTGTCAAGTTAAAGCGTAGCCCTAAGCAATAATTGCCTTCTCTTCTAAGTCACGCCCAACTGTTTGGAAATGAAAAAGAAACATAAGGCCCACACCCTTTTCTGAGGCAAAGCATTTGTAGTGGAATGTGACAAAATGATCAACAACAGAGAGACAAAAAGCCATGCTGGAAATTGGCTCAGACTTTCAGGGTGATGAAAAGCCTGGGGAATGTAAGAGAGACACAGGGATGTGGCAATAGCAACGCCCCCTAATTCTGGCTATAAAGGGAGCTCCAAGTCAGGTGAAGCTAGTGCTCTGCTTCTTTCACAACTGAGCTGGGTGCTTCTCTCACGCTCTAGAGCCTCTATTACCCTTCATCATGGCCACCACTGTAAGACACTATTCTTCTTCGACCTCCCTGAAGGGGCTGGGTGGCTTTGGTGGTGGTTCCAGCCGAGGGTCCTCAGTGCGTCTCAGTGGAGGCGCCTACAGAGCTCCAACTATCCATGGGGGATCAGGTGGCTACTCGGTCTCCTCCTCTCGAATGATGTCTGGCTTCGGCAGTGGCCTGGGTGGTGGCTATGGAGGGAGCTACTGTAGCAGTGTGGGAGGAGGCTTTGGTGGTGGCAGCTTTGGTGGTGGCAGCTTCGGTGGTGGCAGCTTTGGTGGTGGATTTGGTGGTGGACTTGGCAGTGGCTTTGGTGGTGGCTCTGGCGGTGGATTTGGCAGTGGCTTTGGTGGGCCCTTTGTGGGAGGCGATGGCATTCTCCCTGCTGGGGAGAAGGAAACCATGCAGAACCTGAACGACCGCCTGGCTGCCTACCTGGACAAGGTGCGCGCTCTGGAGGAGGCCAACAGTGAGCTGGAGATTAAGATCAGGGACTGGTATAAGAAGCAAGGCCCTGGTCCAGACCGTGACTACAGCCCATATTACAGGACCATCGAGGATTTGAGGAATAAGGTATGACACTGAAGTAGGGCATTTCTGGTCTAAGTCGCTATTAAGGTGACCACAACGGTACTGCAAAACATCAGCGTAAATCACAGCTGGAAATCAAGTGAGAGCAAAAGGTTTCACAAGTCTGTATTTGAAAATATGAAGGATGTGGACTTAGTGCTTTGACAACCTCAGTTATTGTGTTCCTCCAAAAAGGTGCATGTAACAGACATGAGAGGCAGTAATGCAGCAGCAGAGTTTTATGGATATTAGTTCATGTTGATAATGCATTTTATTTTGCTGAGTCTATGGAAAATTAATTCATAGGTGAAGGTCCTAGCTGTATACCAGCCATGATGGGCCTAGCGTGACTGCATGTGCACAGTCAAGCTATTGGCAATTTGTTGTCCATTGCTTTGGCTTTGTCAGTCCTAGGCTGAGTTTTGGGACTTGAAAACCTAAGGAGGGGACCCAATAATGACAAGCATGTTGCCTATCTTGCTCTATCATCTCATTCCTAGGCTTTTTTGGAGCAGTTTGTCTCCCTGCTGATTTGGTTTCCTGTGTTGTCGTCTTGAGCAGGTTGATTTTCTTCCTCCCCCTCTTTTCATTTTTCACATACAAGTGATTGTTAGTAAACCCAAGGGTCTGTATTCTATTTTCCCCTTGTGTTTTTAACTGGCAGTTTTTTAGCCATGCAAGTGGCCTTCTTTTTGCTTACATGTGGGGAGCAATTCAGTTTTCCCTGCACTGTGAACAAGCAAGCATGTGTGTAGACTGAGTGTGGTCAATGGGCCATGCACTGGCTGGGTACAGGTGTGCAGGTATGCACAGGTTTACCTGAGTATAAGTGATGTGAAAAGGGACCATAAGTGATGGAAAAAGGGGTGGAAAGAGGGGGATGAGGAGGGGAATCCTTTTATTTTAGCCCTAATAGCTGAGTGGTTAGAGCACTCATCCAGAAAGCTGGAGAAAACTGCTAGAAATGTGTTATTTGGATACACTCAAGGTAAACAGAAGTCTGCCCGAGGGCATGATGGACATTAGAGAGTAACCAGGCTGGAAGGGACCAGCAGGATCAGGCATCTCTGTACAGAGATGGGATTTGTTGTTTCATGCAGAGGCGCTCAAGGATGCAGGGGAGCTGTCAAAGAATGCCTGTTGCCCATTTTCAAGCCCTTTGTACGGCTCCACATTTAAGTTCTTTCCTCACAGCCTGTCTTGCATCTCACTGGACATACAGGGTGGCTTACATGTAGCTGAGTATGCATTACAAACATCAGTTACTGTGAGCATTGTCCCAGTACACTCCGTTCCACTTCTTGCTTCCTTCCCATGAGTGAATTTGAATGAGCTCATTAAAGACCAAGCAGGAACAGGCTTTGCCAAACCACAGCCATAGCAATGGTCTCCCAGCTCTGCCTGCGACAGTCACCTCCATATAGTGCATCAAAGGTTAGGTGGTCTCCCCCTCACCAATAACTGTTGTGAGAATAGTTTCATTCTGTATGTGGGGAGAAGGAGGGAGATTCTTTCTTGAACTGTGTGTCTCCAGCATGTACCCTTAAAGCATGAGATGGAGTGTTCTTATTATTCCATGCACATCTTCAGAGACATTATTTATGCTTACGGGTAATTTGGAAAGAGAGACATGGGGCAGTCTGACACAGCTCACTCACTTCATTTTAACTTAGACACAGCTCATTTCTCCATTGTACAGGTAGGTGCTTCCCCTTGTAGAAGTCATCCAGTGATGCCCCTGACCCTTCCTTAATCACAAATCTGAGGTTGTACCTCTCAGGAACAAGAGGAGCTTTTCAGACTCTTTTTTCACTGGCTCTCATGTCTTTTTGCCTCCAGATCCTTTCTGCCACTGTCGACAATGCCAACCTCCTCTTGCAGATTGACAATGCCAGGCTGACAGCTGATGACTTCAGGACCAAGTAAGTTCCGCTCTCCCTTTAGAGTGGAAACAAGGAAGCAACTGTCCAAGATGAGAACGGTGCAATTAAAGTTTCTTGGTCAGCATACATGAACAGTGACTGGGAAAGAGCAGGGCTGTCTTTTGCAGGGGGAGTTTCTTACTAGTTTTCATTGGTCCTGAGGAAGCTTTGACATAATGAGAACAATAACAGCAAAAGCCAAAACAGCCAATAAGTGAACAAATCTCATTAGGAGCTTGGGAAATGTTCTGTTTTCAGTAGAATTTTTAAATTTTATTTATATCGCAAAAAGGACTTGATCTATTTTGAATGTCACCCAAAACAGACAGGATGGGGGCCATGGTGCTTCAATTAATTTAGCCAGGGGAAAGTACACATTGATGGTGAAGTGTAAACCTGTTAGTTAAATGTGGTACAGGTTGCTAGTATACCAAGTGAAGTTACTGGTCTTTCCAAATACCTGGTCAGCACTAGGGCTGTTTTATCAATTGGCTAGTGCACCTCACTCACTGGATTACCTACCACTGTGGGTGTTGAGATATGGGAAGGATAGTGGTAATATGGACCAAAGTGGGTAGCAATCAAAGGTGACCCACTGACAGTGGCTGGATGGCTTCTCATGTCTATTTCTTAATCTATTTTTTGTTTCAAGGTTTGAAACGGAGCAGGCCCTGCGTCTGAGTGTTGAGGCTGACATCAATGGCTTGCGTAGAGTCCTGGATGAGCTGACTTTGGCCAGAGCTGACCTGGAGATGCAGCTCGAGAACCTCAGCGAAGAGCTGGCTTACCTTAAGAAGAACCACGAAGAGGTAAGGACAATGCTAAGCACAAGAGCAGAGCCTCTGAATGGTAGCTAAGAGTCAATGGAAACTAGGTCAGGCCCAAGCAGCAAGACTTGTTCTGAGGCCTAGGGCTGCAGCAAAAGAACTTTCAGGGATAAGGCAGCGGGGAATAATTCATACTTTACAGCTACATACCCTCTGTGGCCCTAGGTAAGACTTGTGTACTCCTTCATATTTCAGAGGCTAGCACTGGAGCTGTGCACGGGATCAGAATTTGCCTCAGGGGTGGGAAGTCACCTGTGCTTTCTTTACTATTTGTGCTTTTCTGAACTAAGTAAAATGAAACCGTGAAATGCAGATTTCTTCAGATGGGATCTTGTTATGACCTGATTAGTGGCAATGACACAGGCCCTAGTTAGGATGAGATCCCCACTGTGCCAGTTGCTAAACAAACATAAGGTCTCTTCCTGGCAAAGCTAAGATTTTGACAATGGGAAGGGCCTCCTTAGATGGGCTGCAGCAACACTGTACCGTTATGATGTGGATGAACATAATGGGTTGGCTTTGTTATAGGAAATGAATGCCCTACGCAGCCAGGTCAGTGGAGAGATCACTGTAGAGATGGATGCTGCTCCAGGAGTTGACCTGACCAAGATCCTGGCTGAAATGCGAGAACAGTACGAGCACCTGGCTGACAAGAACCGCAGAGAGGCTGAGCAGTGGTTCTTCAAGCAGGTATGTATTGGTTGCATGGAGAACAATGACTTCATGACACACCTGGCTGGTAGCCAAGATTTACCTGCTGTAACCAGTGCAGTAATGGCCTTGTCCTCTCTTATCCCAGACAGAAGAACTAAACAAAGAAGTTGCCATCAACACAGAACAGCTTCAGAGCGGCAAGAGTGAGATCATGGAGCTCCGGCGCACCATCCAGGGGTTGGAAATCGAGCTTCAGTCCCAGCTCAGCACGGTACGTAGCATTGACTCCCAAGGGTCATACCTACATGCACACACAGGCTGGCAAATGAAGGAATGAATGATCCCTTTTATCTTCCCTCCTTCTGAACTCCTTTCCCTCTGCTTTCCCGTCTCAGAAAGCCGCCCTGGAAGGCACCTTGGCTGACACAGAAGCCCGCTATGGCTCCCAGCTGGCGCAGATCCAGGGCCTGATCACCAGCGTGGAGGAGCAGCTGGCTGAGCTCCGGTGTGACATGGAGCGGCAGAACCACGAGTACAAGATCCTCCTGGATGTCAAGTGCCGGCTGGAACAGGAGATCGCTACATACCGCCGCCTGCTGGAGGGCGAGGATGTCCAGTACGTGAATGGAGTTGACTAGATAGAATGACACGGGGCAGGGGAAGCCTCTGAAACAACTATGTCCTCTAGAGCCTTGTTTCCAGTGAATATCCAAGAATAAGTGGCCCAGAGGCTCTCTGCTGTTATCTCTCTAGTCAGACCCTGACATGGGAGAGATTCAGTTTTTGAATTACGGTGCATAACATACCCTCTCTTTCTCCTTCTAGGGATCAGTGCTGTATAGCCATTACCATAAAATTTCAGCTGCTAGGAGTCTTAAATTCCGTTCCCGGCTCCTTCTGTGACTCTATGAAGCTAAACTGACTAACATATCTCACAGGGGGGTCCGAGGAGCATGTAATGGGTGTGTCTAAATTATCATGACGCCCTACAAATCTTTCCAAGATCGTGTTTCTGCCTTAGATTTTAATGCTAGATCATTAGTGGCCAACCTTTTTGGCAAGCATGACATAGCTTAAGTCCAAAGTATGAGACAGTGCCACTCCAATAATTAGCTATTGCATTGCTGAGTGCTACTGAATTGTGTCACCACCAGGACACAGCAACACTGAATTTGGAGGCATCTACTCCTGCAGCTCCTATGGGGCCAGACCCTTGAGCCAGCATTGACTCATGATTTCTGACCTCTTCCTGTTGGCTGCATTGATCCCTGTCCTCTCCTAAACTACCACTTTGATCCCAGGCCCCTCCCTGACTGCTGCTCCAATACCCACCCCTTCCCCAATCTGTCATGTGCCACACACACTGGCTGCCCATGCCGCTCGTGGCACTCTTCCTGTAGGTAATTTTAAGGACAGGACAGTAATAATTCACATGTTGATGCAATAAAGAAATTAGTCAGACTGGGTGTTAAATAATTATCTTCCCCCATGAGAGGCTAGCCCGTTTGTTCTATCACTTACTGCCTCCTTTCCTTTTTGCCCATGATTTTAACTTGTCCTCATTTCTGTCCTCTTGTAGCATGTCTTCACAGTACTCCTCCCAGGTTATCAAAGAAGGTAAGGGGTTTTTCTTGTCTGCAAAATTCATCACATACTCTCATATCTCATCCTTAACAACTACCATCCCAGAAGGCCTCCTTTATTACTGGGTTCAGAATATGAATGATAAGGAATTATTCCTCCAACATATTAAAGACATTGTTGAGACAAATGTCTGTGCATGCATGAAAACAGGGCGATGGATTCATGAAAATTAAGTTGTGCAGTTAAATCAGCTGTATAAAAAGTCAATATTTGGCTGGTCAAATGTTGCACATCTAAACTCTATTTTGGCAGAAATGTGTGTTTCCATCATAATGAGCTCATTTTCAGAAATATGTCTGCTTTCCAAGGAAATTTTTAACCATTTGCAAGACAAACAAACACACCTAAAAAAAATGAAAGGAAAAAATATAATTTTTTTTGGATTTTTGGGTTCTCAATTTTTCCAAAGATTGACATTTTCAATCAATGTACTAGCTCCAGCCAATATGTCCTTTCCTTTCATTTCTGTGTTCTACAAAAGCTAGCGTGAAGTAGCCTCTCCTTCATATTCCAGTACAGTATTGGGAGGTCCCATCTAGTTGAAAAGAAAATGTATTAGGCAAATCATGTATCTGCTTCCTTTGAAAAACGTTACTCTTCCTCAATCACTTTAGATCCGTGATTCTCAACCAGTGTGCCATGGCCCCTTGGAGTGTCATGAGATCCTTTTCAGGGTGCTGTGGTGTGCTGCTCAATATCAGCACTGCGAGGTATACAAACACCTACACACATGATTCACAGATAAACCCAGAGATTTCAAATAGGAATCCAGAGTGTCAAAACCATCCTGCCCTGCTGTGGTCTTTCTGAGTTCTCTGCAACAGAGCGATGATGGCTGCCATCCTAGTGCCCCTTCTAAGACTGAGCCCAAAGCTGGTGCCACGATTACGCACCCCTTTTTACACTACTGCATGTCTCTCCTCCTCCCCTAATAACAGCTTCCTCTTTTTTTCTTCTGTGTAGGACCTAAGACCACTCGTCAGGTCCGCACGATCGTTGAGGAAGTCCAGGACGGAAAGGTGATTTCTTCCCGTGAGCAGGTCCACCTTTCACCCCGCTAAGACCACAGGCTGCTCCAGGCCTAGGCACTTTGGATGCATCCGTATCATTATTTTCACAGCCAAGGGAAAGACAACTCCAGGCCATGTGCTGAAGATGGGTGCTTCTGCCATAAGCTTGAACAGGCCTGGATTATGCAGCGTGTTCAGCTCAGTTAGTGTGTTCCTTCCCATTCTACCACTGTGTTCCTCACCCTTCTGTGAATGCTTCGCTATGCTCTGCCTGTAAACCCCCAATAAAGCTTTTCACTTTGTTCATGGAAATTGCAAATTTTGCCTCGGTAATTCTAGGCTGACACAGACCCCGTGAGGGCATTGGTGGTGTTTGTTAGGGCTGCCACCAACACCCACAGGCTGCTAGGGGATGGAGGTGTTCAAAAGTTCACTGTAAGGCACTATATGCTAGATTACCATGTGATTTGAATTAGTACCTCCAAACTGCATGCCAAGTCAAAGCCCTAGGTGTTTTACTGAACATGTCCAGCTTGGCTGGAGGTCTACAGAGGAACTGATGAAATAGTCTCAGATATCTTTCCCCAGGCTGAAGTGATCTCGGGATGTAAAACCTAAGATAGATCTTTAATGAATCATGTCAGACTTGGGTCTTCCACAGTAAGGGGCACACGGATCATGGTTGGCCATTATACAGGGTCAGGGCAAAAATGGGACTTTCTCAACTTAGTGAATCTGAGCCAAGAAGCATAATGCACAATGAAAACCACAAGCACATTCATAGTCAACTATGCATAATTATCAACTCTTTTAGCTCCCTCTCAGCACTGGCCGAGTTATACAGGCAATAGTGCTTCGTGGTAATGAATGACATCTTCACCTGCAATTAAATTTCAGTGATATTCAATGAGAATTCCTTAGCATGACAAACTACATGAGTGAATGCCAAGGTGCAATGAAAGGACAGACCCCTTGGATATCTGTGAGCTTTGAGTGTGGCCCATGTGGAATAAGATTACTGCATGCTGGGTTTGAGTTTCTACATATGTTTGTCTTTAAAAGTCACTCCTAATCCATGGTACACTCCACCTCTGCTTCTCACCTCTCCCAACAGGAGCAGTGGCTCCTGGAAGACAAATCTAGGTACTGGGTCCTGGTTAGCTTCTGCCATGGTCTTGGCTTTCAGGTAATTCTTTGCCCCTTGACTAGGGCTACTGAAACCAATGAGATGATTCATGGGGTGGTGTTGTGGAGCATAGGAAGGCTGGCACAATCTGGGCCTCTGATTTTAAGTCCTTTCTTCCAGGAAATTTGCTGTGATTTTACCATTGGCAGCTATCAGCGATAGTTCTGGTTCTCCCCGACAAGCTGGGAAGGAACCTTTCAGTTGTATTTTAGAGCGTCTATTGTTGCAGTCTACATGTGCAGCAATAGACTGCAGAGCTTATTGCTCCACAGTTTATTGCCCCTGGGAAGCTCCAGGGTATGTGATTTACATGTGTGCCCAGAGCACAGCACAACCCTGAGCTGGGTTGCAGCAGCAGCCCTGGCTGGTAGAAGGCCTGGGGGGTGGTCAGCCAGCCAGCCCGGGACTGCTCTGACTGGGCTCAGTGTGCTGTGGAGGGGCTGGCTGGGACACAAGGGTGCTTCAGTGTGGGGCTAGCTGGCGTGGTCCAGCTAGCCAACTCTGTGTCTACATGTGCGCTGCTGTGCACAAAAAACTATTAGTTTTTTGTGCACCTAATAGGGGCGCATGTGTAGATTCTGAAGCATTTACTGTGCAGTTAATTAGTCCAAGCTTCTGTGGCTATGCGGTTATTATTATCTGAGTTAGCTGAATTAATATTAGCTTGGGACATGTACTGCAGTCACACCTCTGCCCTAGACAGCGTTGAAGTACCCTCTGTTTTAGAATTTCACAACCTACCTGACCCCTTACCATCCTGCTCAGATGCTATTGACGTGTCTATTCATGTGAGCTGTGGATGGAGGGGAGGGGAGAGGAGAGGAGAGGGAAGGGGCAGGATTAAAAAAAGCAGTTGTGGAAAAACAGTCCCATGTTCTGGAAGCCACATCTGCATTTTTGTATCATTGTGGATGTGCCTGGGCAAGATTCTCGTCCCAAAGCGCTTCCAGTTAAAACAAATTTGGAGGGGTTTTTTGCTCGTTTCTTCTGATGAGAGCTCTTTAGGGCAGGGCTTTCTCTTTTTCTTCTTTTGTTAAATGCCAGGCACACCCTGGTGCTATAGAAATAGAATTTTTCTCAGGACAAAAGTCCCTTTCATGACTCCCGCTACTGCAGAGCCAGTGTACAATTGGTGCAGAGGTCAGAGCTTATCTCTGTCCTGCTTTGAATACCAATAATTGAACTCAAACCTCAGGAAATTTGTTGATGAACATCATTTTGGATAGCGGCTCAGGTAGACAGACAGGCACAGCTTGAGACATGAGGATAGAGGTTAAAATAAAAACTTGTCACTTTTCAGGCAAAATTAAACATATGTGATATGAAATTTCATTGGCAGAGACTTTAAAAAGAGACATCGAAGTGTGACTGTTAATGTCCTTTTTTAACAGAGAGGCAAGGATTTGCTTGGGTGATATCTTTTTTTCAAATGCAAGGTATTCTTCATCAGGTCACTCCAAAAAATCCTTGCCTTGCACATAATTCCTGGACCATCATGGCTACAGCATCACTCTATCACTACTAATTTTCTGAACAGTAACTTTAAATAGAGACTTTGAAACTAGGGCAAACTTCAGAAGCTCATTTACATGAAAAGAAACATACACTGTCCTTGTCTGTCACGGTTGCAGACATATATGTTGGGGCTCAGACTGCACCATCAAACCCTTGCTATACTTAAGACATATCAATGACATCATCATCATTTGGACTGAAAACCTGCAATCTCTGATTGAGTTCCATCAGAAATTCAAGAATCACCCTCCCTCCATCCGATTATCTCTTGAATACTCCACACCAACACCTCTTTTTAGACACGATGATCAGTATCCAGAATGATTAAATACAGACAATGTTATACAAGAAACCCACAGACCAACATATGCATCTCCACAGAACCAGCAGTCACCCTAAACACACCAAAAAAGCTGTGATATACAGCCAAGCCCTCAGATACCACCGAATTTGCACTGAGGAGAACACCCGGGATTGCCACCTCACCAATCTTACAAAGGCTTTCACCCAGCAAGGAAACTCCTCCAGAGAGATAGATTGCATGTTTGAAAGAGCCACCCGGATACCATGGGAAGAACTGCTGCAGTACAGAAGAAAACCAAAGGGGCTGTGTGAATATATGGACAGAGAGAAAAGAGAGAGAGAGAGAGAGAGAGAGAGAGAGAGAGAGAGAATCTGATTTTGCTGCTTTCAGTGGTGTGACTCTATGGAAACAGCAACATCAGCAGAATTTGACTTTGCAATTTTGTTGGAAGAAAAAAAATCAAACACATAATTAAAAAAAAACCTGGGAGAAGTAATTAAAATTATTTTTAAACCTAGCTAGAGGGCAGTTCTCATTCTCAGGCTCAGATCTGCTGCTGTGCCCAAGATCCCCCTAGGCCATAACTGAAATGGTAATGGCTGCATACTTCTCTGGCTGGCTGTATGCTGACTATAGCTGCAGTGTAGCTGCATGGCCATGGCAAATGTACCAACTGGAGGCTGCTAAAGGGCAACACCTTGGCTCCTCTCTGCCCTCACACAGCTTCCCACATCTGTGCTGCAGCAGCACTGGCAAAGGGTTCAGTGTTCTTTGCTGACTGCTTTATCCCAGCACCATCTCCATGTGAGATAGCTTGGTTAGATAAAGCTTAAGTTGCCTGTAACCTCAACTGGGTTTCTGTTTTTGGACCCCCTGCATCTGAGGGCAGGGGGACAGTGTTGAGTATTGGGGGGTAGGGGGTGGTAGAAGAGCATAGTCAGTCTTACCTATCCTGGGACCCAAACACCCCAGCTATGTTGCTGCCAGTCTGCCCCAGCTGCCATTGTTGTGGTGCCATGCACTTGGCTACTACTTCTCCGTGTAGTGTGGGGGTGCTATGTCCTGGAGCAGCAAAACCTCCTCAGAGACGCAGGGGTCGGGGTGTGGCTGCCATTCCAGTTCCCCCTCCAAATCAGCTGGTGCCTCATTTGCCCAGCCCTTTTTATGTTACTACTAGATAATAGTGTTCATGATGGCAAAAACTGAATTCAGTTCCAGGTGTGACCATCTTCAAGACCTCACTTATAAGACAGCTCACGTCAGTTCTGCCAAACAGTTTTATATGCAAAATGCAGCCAAGTTCATTTTTAAAGAACTAGCCAATTGCCTGTCAAGAATGATGTGGGGTCCGTCAAGAATTGCCTGTCAAAAATGATGTGGGGTGGAGGCCTATTGCACACATAGGAGGCTATCATGCCTTGCACCCCCAAAGTAAAAATTCTGACTCTCTTCTCATTTCTCTGGAATTTTATCAGCTCTTATGCCATTTTCAGCAAAGATTCAACTGTGGCAAAAAATGTTTAATGTATGAGCCAATGAAATGCTGCTTTCTCGTTGTATCATTTCTCTTAACCACAAAATTAAACTGATTTGAGGTCGAACTCTGTGAGTGTTTCACTGTTCATTATTCTGTAGCTTCCTTTTATAAACAGCACACGTGAACATAAGATGTGGGACTGGAAGGAGCCTCCTGTGTCACTGATTGCAATGAATTTCTTCAGTCTCAATACTCTCAGTTAGTTACTGCATGACAGTAACTTCTAGACAACTAAAACTTAGCTTGTTGTTTAAGATGATTACAAATCATAAATTTTAATCAGATGGTTTAACTCATCTATGTACTTTCTGAGAAGCATTTACAGAACAGCCCTTTAACACTATGATCTTTAGAGCCAACTTGTTACTTGGGTAAATATATATTTATAAAAGCTGTATTTCTGCTTAGTTGGAACTAGCAGGACTGTTGTATATGGGTCACATTTCTATTTCAAACGAACAGCATTGTACAAACTATTTGCAATACTTTGTGGTTAGGTTGGCCAGACAGTGAAATTTCCTTGAACTAAAGACTTCTGTTACAGAATGCCTTCATTTTTCTCATACCCTGCCTTAAATCTCAACTAACACCCTTTAGATTTATCTAGTAATGATATTATGATTTATAATACCATATCAAATAGTCTAGCTTGATCTACTGTTTCTCCGGGAATGAGCCTGTGCTGCTTTTGAGCTTCTGATCAAACCATAATCTTTCCCCCTTCTTCTTGGCAGCTGATCTGAGAAGGAACATTATTTCTAGCTGTTGAGAAGGGGATTGTTAGGGCCTGTCTAGGAAAGTAAAGGATTGGCAAACAGACACATGGGGAAGTGTACTTTTCTCCACCCACACCCTGGAACATCATTAACTGGTAACACTCAGGTCTGTGCTAGAGGCCTTTCAGCTTCAGACAGAGTTAGTCCTTCTCTGTGCTCAGCCCTTCAGTTTCCTGAACCCCTTAGTTCTTCAAAGGCAGCCTGTGGCTCTTCTGCTGTTTTGTTTACTGGGAGTATCTATATTTTTTGGATTAGACTCTCAGAGAAGGGAGCCACAAAGGGAATTTCAGAGTAGAACTGATGAACTTGCTCATTAACTTATGGTAAAGCACTTTGTTGCTCAGTGCTATTTTTTATCCTCAAGTCCTACAAACCCAACAGCTGTTTTCCAGACCATTTAGACTATTTTCTTTGCTCTTGCTCTGTGCTGACCCACACCCTTTCTGGGAGAACTCTGTAGCTTCTAAGTTGTGCCTTCTAACAGCTGTGCCCTGGAACTGAATGGGGCCTCAGAGGCTGAACTCCCCCCTCATCTCTACAGATTGGGTTAAAGGCTCATTTGAAACTCTGGCTATTGCAAAAGAGTTACCAAGTACTCAGGGAGCCTGGGAATACCACTGTGTAACACTTAAGACATGCAGGTTGCAGCGGAGGTGGTTGGGGAGGGAGGGATTGTGCCACAGAATAGTTAAATTAGTCTATGCTGGATCCAGAGGTGTGAGTGCAAGCCTTGTCCCAGGTTCACACTAAAGTCTTCCCTCAGTTAACCCAGCTATAAAGGGACACCTGGTGATATACCTGGGGAATCAAGCGGTCTTAATCACACTAAGCCCCCTAGCTTCAAGAGGTCCTTTGATTTTTTTGATGACCTGAGACAGAGGTTGATTTAGTCTGTTGAAATGCTGCTGAAGGAACCCTGATTATTTCTCTCATGCTTAGTAGCATGAAGTGATGTTAAAACGTAGCCTTGAGCGATGATCCTCCCACTTTGAATCATACCTGACTGTTCATTTGGAAGCACAGGAAGCAGAGTGACGCCCTTTGTGCAGTGATGTGTTTCTAGTGAAATGTAACACAAGGCATGAATAGAACAAAGAGAAAAATGATGATTCTGGAAATTGGCTCAGACTTTCAGGGTGATGAAAAGCCTGGGGAATGTAAGAAAGAAACAAAGATGTGGCAATGGCAACGCCCCCTGGCTCTGGCTATAAAGGGAGCTCCAAGTCAGGGTGAAGTTAGCATTCTGCTTCTTTCACAGCTGAGCTGGGTGCCTCTCTCACACCCTAGATCCTCTGTTACCCTTTGCCATGGCCACCAGCGTCAGACAATATTCTTCTTCGACCTCCCTGAAGGGGCTGGGTGGCTTTGGTGGTGGTTCCAGCCGAGGGTCCTCAGTGCGTCTCAGTGGAGGCGCCTACAGAGCTCCAACTATCCATGGGGGATCTGGTGGCTACTCAGTTTCTTCCTCTCGAATGATTTCTGGTGTTGGAAGTGGTATGGGCGGTGGCTATGGAGGGAGCTACTGTAGCAGTGTGGGAGGAGGCTTTGGTGGTGGCAGCTTCGGTGGTGGCAGCTTTGGTGGTGGCAGCTTCGGTGGTGGCAGCTTTGGTGGTGGATTTGGTGGTGGACTTGGCAGTGGCTTTGGTGGTGGCTCTGGCGGTGGATTTGGCAGTGGCTTTGGTGGGCCCTTTGTGGGAGGCGATGGCATTCTCCCTGCTGGGGAGAAGGAAACCATGCAGAACCTGAACGACCGCCTGGCTGCCTACCTGGACAAGGTGCGCGCTCTGGAGGAGGCCAACAGTGAGCTGGAGATTAAGATCAGGGACTGGTATAAGAAGCAAGGCCCTGGTCCAGACCGTGACTACAGCCCATACTACAGGACCATCGAGGATCTGAGGAACAAGGTATGACACTGCTGTTTTAGAAGTGGGACATCTCCTGTATGAGACTGTTCATTAAAAATGCTCTGTGTCTGAAAACTGAATATATGGGGCTCTAATTGATGGCAGGCCCATCTAATTACATCTAATTGATATAATGAGAGCTTCATGGAAATACATTCATTTTTCTTTGCCAGAAACAAATGAAGGAAATGCAGTAACTTATGGGCATTAGTGGTCTGATGGTATTCCTTCATAAGGAGAAAAACTGCATTACCTGTCAAATGTTTTACAACAGGGAAGGAGACAGAGGCAAAACGGCAGCAATCCAAACTAATACACCACTTACTTTTATTACAAATTGTATCCTGGGTGCTCCAGCTTCTAGCAGTTTGTCCCTAAAAGGTTTCCCAGACTAGCAATTCTGGGATGAGTGTATACAGAGAGTTGGGTTTTATTGGATATTACATATGCTCTGAGTATGTGCTCCTGCTGTCAGATGTCCAGCTCAGAAATAGGCTGTAAGCTCCTCAGGCAGGGACATGTTATCTGGTTGGCACTGTCCACCTATTTGAAAAGGCTATGAGTGCACAGATGTTAAGCAGTTGCAATATTGGCCACTAATCATGACTTGCTTATAATGATGCTGGATTTAGTGGTTAAAAAAGAGATGAAACCAAATGGTAATGGGGAGAGGGGAGCATTGCCGTTTGGGAATGGCTGTGACAAGACCTGACATTTCCCTTCCCTCTGAACCGGGGAGATTTAGGATGATCTAGGCCTAATTCTGTTCCCCTTTATACCAGTCAGGTGTAAGTTCACTGAAGTTAGCATGTATGTACACTGCGGAAAACTGAAGTATGCAAAGTAGGGTGGCCATCATAGAGGGTATTACAGTTTTCTGCTACTCTGTCCTCTATTGATACTAAACCTGACGCCTTTATGTCCTCTATTTTTCTCTTCAAGTGAAAAATAGAGGACACAAAGGCATCTGGTTTTGTATCAATAGAGGACAGAGGACAACTGGACTGTCCTCTATGATGGCCACCCTAATGCATAGGCAGAAGCAGGGCCCTCTCGTTCAGTGTTCAATCTGAGCATTTTTGGAGGAAGGTTTCAAGCAAAGGCTCTGGTGACTCCCTCCACTGCAGTGCTGGAATCTGCATTGGCCATGCCTAACTCATGAAGTCTGATTTTTTGCGCTTGGAGCAGGCCAAGTGTTGACTTTCATCATCAGCCTCTGATGTTCAGATGCTTGCTGGAGGCAATGGGAGTGTCATCAGATTGTCACAGGGGGCAATGGATGGGGCACCTGGAAGGCAGTGACTTACGGGCATCAGTGATCTAGTGATTTTCCTTCATAAGGAGCAAAGTTGCATTCCTTGTTAAATGTTTTACAATAGGGGAACAAACAGATGCAAGAAGGTAGCAGCCCAAGGTAATATACCACTTACGCTTTTTAGGAATTATGTCCTTGATGTAGTGACAATGCAGAATTTGTGCCTCCACCACTAGCTTTTCCTTACCTGGCACCAGTGATGAAAGTCAGTGATACACCAGGGAGGCAGCAACTGACATGCTCTGTGGTTGACCAAACTCTGAGCTACTAAGAAAGAATATTAGCTAGTGTACTTTGTTCTCCTGGCACTCACAGGTTTCCTTACAACCCCAATTTTTGTTTCCTGTCTTTGGCACTGCAGGCTAAGTTACTTTCTTGCATTTGTTAAGGGAGTCAGATACTGTGAGGTTTTCTGCTCTGAATTCAAGCTAGGTGCTATCGTATTCTTCTCATGAGAGTATGATGATAGCAAGGAACAAATGGATACAGGTTCTGAAATAGGAGATCTGACCAGTGCACAGTCAGGTCTCACAGGTCTCATATGCTGCTTCTCGCATTGACCAGTACCTGGTGATGTACAGGAGGGAGCACTTAGTGATGGAGAGGAGAGGGCAGTCCTGCCGTTTCCCCTCCAATAATATACCTGGACAATCATGCAATAATACTGTGGGTGAGAGAGGGAGAGTCCTTCCTGAGCTCTGCAAGTTGACAGTCAGGTTCTCTGAAGCATGGGGTCTGAGTCCTCTTTTCTAAGCTTGTACCTGCAAATGTTGGTTGGTAGGTAGGGTTGGAAGGGACCAGAGCAGATCATCAAGTCCGACCCCCTTCCATGGCAGGAAAGAGTACTGGGGTAAAACGACCCTGGCAAGGTGTTCATCTAGCCTCCTTTTAAAGACCCGCAGGATAGGAGCCAGCACCACTTCTCTTGGAAGTTGGTTCCAGATCCTAGCCGCCCTGACTGTGAAGTAGCACCTCTTGATATCTATCCTGAATCTACCCTCTGCCAGCTTGTGACCATTATTTCTAGTCACTCCTGGTGGTTCTTGGGGGAACGGGGACTCCCCCAGTGCCTGCTGGTCCCCTCTGACTAGTTTGTAACAGGCCACTAGATCCCCCCTCAACCTTCTCTTGTGGAGGCTGAACAGGTTCAGGTCCCATAGCCTCTTCCTCATAGGGCCTGCCCTGCTGACCCCT